GACATCTGGCCTCGCCAAGGAGCAGAGTAACAGGGCCGTTGGGAATGAGGGTCCAAGGGAAAGATTTTTTATTTAAGGGAAATGTATTTTTTAAGTAGCTACTGGCTTTCGATTCCCTATTAAGTTTTTGGTCTAAATAAATCACCTTGTAAATATCTGTTAGTAAATAGGAAGACTTTAATTTTACTTCCTTAGCATTAAGGAATGCTAAGAATTTTAAAGGAGTACGTGTGTCTGGTCTGGCCCACAAAATCTTTGTGAACAAAGTGTTCTAGGATTACCAAATCTGTTTTTAGGGTTACTATGAATAAAATTAGTAACACGATGGATCGGACATAGTTCCCTGAAATAGGGACAATCGATCTGCATTGCAGTACAAGTGTGTGAAATTCTAGAATTTTGGAATAGAACATAAATGGCAAATTTCTTCCATTAAATTTTGATTGGTCATCACGTCTTATTAATCTTAATAGTACTTTGTGTAGCTCTCGGCATATAAGTGCTTCATATAATTGAATGAATGAATGAAGACAATTTCAAATCTGAAATGCTAAAGAGACTAGCAATACCCCAAAATCCACCAGCAGATGGCACCATGCTGTTTCCTATGAGAGTTTATATAGAGACAACATTAACACAAAATTCAATTCTTGATTTCAAGTGCTGCTTAGGAGAAGAAAAATCCTCAGGAATACACTTTACTACTTCAAATTTTATAGTTGAATTATTAAAGCCTGTTCACATGTATTTATTTACTACAAATGTCTAAATTCTGACTCTAAGTTAGGCCTTTCCTTAGGTCAGATCATGGAAATGAGATTGACTTGTAGATAAGAGAAAGAAAATACCCACAGGTTATCATGATTAAAATGCTTGTGAGCAGTCAGAAGCTGAGCTGCTAATTGAGTCTCCCTACGATAGTGGTCCCCAACCTTTTTGACACCAGGGACCAGTTTGATGGAAAACAATTTTTCCGCGGATGGGGGTTGGGGGGAGGCGGAGCTCAGGTGCGGTGGGTTCCTAACAGGCCATTGACTGGTGCCGGCCTGGCCCAGGGGTTGGGGACCGCAGCCCTAAGATACCAATATCCTTCAATGGCAGTAAAAACGAAGATGTTTTGCATACATCAGAGCACTTCCCTTCTTGTATGTTGTTTTTTATTCATATTTCTTTTTTAAACCAACATATACAATTTTTCAGTATCCTATATCAAATAATTTCAAATTCTGAAGTCTTTGGGAGTCAGAATCTATATTTTGTTGTGCCTATACTGTCTCTCACTTATGGCATTTTTTGACCTAATGTGTTGATTATCTTTTTTTTTTTTTTGAGACACAGTCTTGCTCTGTTGCCTGGGCTAGGTGCAGTGACGTCATCATAGCTCACTGAAACCTCAAACTCCTGGGATCAAGCGATCCTCCTAACTCAGTCTCCCCAGTAGCTGGGACCACAGGCGCACGCCACCACGTCCGGCTAATTTTTCTATTTTTTGTAGAGACGGGGTCTCGCTCTTGCTCAGGCTGGTCTCAAACTCCTGGCCTCAGGTGATCCTCCCGCCTCGACCTCCCAAAGTGCTAGGATTACAGGTGTGAGCTATTGCACCTGGCCGTGTTTATTTATCTTTGTGAGTTCATATTTGTTTGAAGACATTATTTCTGAGAAGATATGTGTTTGCTGCTTCTAGTTACCAGGGAATCTGAAGTACCTGTGACAATTTAGCCTCCTTCCAGGTTTCCTGGCCTGTTGTGAGAGTTTCAAGTTGGGCTCTCTCACCCTGCAGCTAGCCCAAGGCTTGAACTCACCAAGACAGGACTTTAGGGTAACTTTTGCATGTGGTTACTGCTAAATTTTTCCTTTCTTCCTCTTGAGAATTATCCTTCATCCTGAGATCCCAGTAATGCCTGGAAAATTTTGTTTTCGCGTGTGATGTACTTGTCTGTAGTGGAAAACCTTGCAGAATATTTAGCACACTATATAGGATGTGGACTCATATTTTCTTTCTCAGGAAATACCACTAAACTAGATCTGGATGTTATCCTAGAACAACTTGCGAATATACCTACTCCGGCTTTTCCAGGACTAGCGTAAGTAATTTCTCTTGGATTACTAAGAATCTCTCATCTAGTCTCTGTTTTTCTGACTTTATACTTTCTAATGTATCCTCTACAATGTCACTCAGTTTAGGAACTAGACTGACATTTTTAAAAAGGTAAGTCTCATCATGCCAATTCCCTGATAAACGTGATTTCATGGCTTCCCTCCATATTCTGAATAAAATTGAAATTCCTTAGCCTGGTGCCCAGGTCTCCATTTCTCCCGCCAGGCTGCCATGTGTTCCATGCACCCTGCTCCAGCGTTACCAACCTCATGGCCTTTTCCGAGCCTTCTCTGCCCTCTTCCAGGGCAAGATGACCTCTTGCTAGCTGTCAGCTGCCGTGTCCCTTTGCTTGGAAGCCCATGTATCCTTCCTCCTAAGTAATGACTCTGCTCTGGAAGCCCATTATTTATTTATTTATTTATTTATTTATTTTTTTGAGACAGAGTCTCACTGTGTTGCCCTGGCTAGAGTGCCGTGGCGTCAGCCTAGCTCACAGCAACCTCAAACTCCTGGGCTCAAGCGATCCTCCTGCCTCAGCCTCCCGAGTAGCTGGGACTACAGGCATGCGCCACCATGCCCGGCTAATTTTTTCTATATATTTTTAGTTGTCCGATTAATTTCTTTCTATTTTTAGTAGAGACGGGGTCTCGCTCTTGCTCAGGCTGGTCTCGAACTCCTGAGCTCAAACAATCCGCCCGCCTCGGCCTCCCAGAGAGCTAGGATTACAGGCATAAGCCACCGCGCCCGGCCTGGAAGCCCATTATTTTTTGACCCACAACACGTGTGAAAGCTGAATATTACACAGATGGGAATGAAATAAGAAATCCCCAAAGTCGATTTTAATATACTATATAACCAATCTCTTACTGAAAAAAATTATGTTTAATTGCAGAAAGAACTATCCAAGGATGAAAGCTTAATTAATTGGTGATCCCAGAAATCTAAGCTTTTTAATTAAAAAAAAAGAAACCATGGAATGACTCTCTCTGTAACTCTAACGCATTTTAGGCCGTCATTGGGGCCGAGGTGTGTGCAGTGTTCAGGGGAAGGGGCCGTCTGAAAATCCTGATTCTTTAGCTGGCTGCAAATCCGTCAATCGACTTAAAAACTGTGTTGGAGCCTGGGCTTCCCAAGTAGAAACCAATCAATATATGAAATCTTAAACTGTGTTGGGGCAACTGAGTAAAAACAGAAAAGATCATTTATTCAGAAGAATCTTTCAACTTCAATTTCTGTATCACATAAATAAAACAGCTGATTGATTAATCGAATATTTCCCTATTGGTCTCATTCGCAGCCGTCTCATAGTGGACAGACGGACAGCTCAGGGATGGATTCAGACTGAAGCTGATGAGACTCCAGAGTGCAGAGTCAGTAGGTTTGGCTACTTGACCAGGGACAAGTTACTTAAGTCTTCGGGTCAACGTGACAATTAAACACGGCCACCGTAGCACCGAACACAAAGTCCGAACTTAAAAACGATCTGGAAAGATCTTCCACACCAAAGAGCGTAATGTAAAATTAACTGCCGTTTTGTGACCTTTATATTTAGGGCAATATATATTTTGTTAACCTTTAGAAACAACTCAACTGGATGCAAATTTGAAAAGTGATCACAAAGTTACCTTTAATGAATTAAAAAAAAAAACCTTCCATGTTCACTAATTATTGCCATTTTATATGAAGTTCTCTCCTAAGAAGAGTGTTTCTTGTGTGAATAACTTATTTTTCTTTCTTATAATGAAACCTCTGAGGTCTCGCTATACCATCAAAATGCTGGAATATTTTCATTCAATTAACTTAAATTATGTAATGTGAAAATCAGCGACAGCCTGGAGTTTGAGGGCTGGTGTAATTCTGGTGAGAAATTATATTTCGCACATTGGCTTATTTAGTTAGAATTTTCTCTGGGTAATAAAAATAGTGTTACATAGAAATTAGTTGCGTATAACCTCACACACTGCCATAAATGACTCCTGCAAATCCTATACTCCGAGTGATGGAGACAAATCCCCCAGAAAGCAAATTTACGGTAAAATAAGGCTGCCCTAGACCTGGTGGGAATAGATTGTTCTGGATAGCCGAAGGTCCCAGATAGTAAAATAATGACTATTCTAACTATTTGGGTTGGAACATTTTCTAATGGTATCATATACTTTTTAAAAATTAAACAGTTCATATATGGATCACGACACGAACTTTTCTGAATGACTCATGTCTTATCCCTTTGTGGCCTGGATGCTAAAGAATCAGATCTCAATCTCAGAATTTGAATCATTTCCTCTGCGTCACTCATGGGTTCACTTTTCTTCTTACGGATTTGCCGAAAGCACAAGACACGTTAATTGCAATGACCTGTCACAAGACATTGTTCTGGCGGGAATATTGTCTGTTCAGACCTGCAAAGGTGGAGGCTGCATCAGGCTGGTCTCAGATCACCTTCTCCTCTTGCTGTTCATCCAGAACCCTCCACGATCTGGCCTCTGTCAGACAGTGCTCAACCAGTAAAAAACTCAGGGGATCAGTGAGGAGGCATAAAGAACCAAATGTCCCTTCCTGAGATAGTTCCAGATGCTGTTTCACATGGTTCTGTCCCCTACCTGCAGGGAGCTGTCATTTATTAAAGCCATTGCCATAATATTTATCATAATAGTCAAGGTGCTTTCGGTTACATGTGATCAAAATCCAACCCAGACTGGCTGAAGCCAAAGGTGAGTGGATAGTCCCACGTCACAGGGTGACCAAGATGGCGCTACCTGCAAGCACAGCTGGGTCACGCCTTTACGTCTCTCCCTTCTGCTTCTCCGCCTGCCTCTGAGTTGGCCTCATCCTCACTCAGGCCTTGACTGCTGGAGCAAACATCCCCACAGTTGACAATGTAAAAGGAAGAGAAACCCTCCTCCTCCTCCTCACTGTCCACATAACAAAGCTCCAGAAGGACTTTGCCTGAGTTACATGCTCACCCCTGAACCAATCACGAAGTCCTGAGAGGTCAGGAATTCCGATTGCTTCGGTGCAATCTCATGCCCAGGGGTGAGCACCAGGCTGGCAGTCCCTCCAGGCCCCCACAGAATGAGAGCAAGTGGGGTGCTATTATTAGGATAAGGGGAGAATAATTCTGCTCAGACCAGGAGAAGAATACAGGGAGGTAGATGTAAAAAACATAGGCCCTGTGGGGCGGTATCCATCATTCTCTTATCAATAAAGCCACCTGAATTTAGTATCAGACTTTGTAACATTTTACATCTTTTTAGGAATACAAGGGGAAGAGTGTGGCATATAAACTGAAGAGTTACTGCATCCCTGTTTTCGGCAAGCTGGACTGTGATAGCCTTGCGGACGGCTACAACTGTGGTTGCTATTTTAAGCCAATTCAGGTAAAGACGCCAAAAAAGATGCTAAGGACAAGTTTTCTTGCTGTCCTCGATTATGAAAGGTACATCAAAGAAGCACAAAGTGGGGGGTGATTACAGAGTGGTGGTTCCACAATGTCAGGAGGTGGAGCATATAAAACAGAAAGAATCCCCGGTGCGGGGGGAGGGGTGTATTCACAGCTAAACGTGTGCCGTGCGCACCGTCTGGGGGACGGACATGCTTATAGCTCAGACTTGGGCAGGGCAAAGGCAAAATACGTAACGTAAACATTTTTACCCCTGTAATATTCTGAAATTAAAAAAATATAAATAAAATTAAAAAAAAAAAAGAAGAATCCCCAAAGCACGGGTCTGAGCTTAGGATGAAGGGCACGCTAGGTGCTGAGTGCTGTGGTCTGTGTTTGCAGAATTAGCACTATTCACCCATTTGCTGCAGGAGTATATAACACTGACTTTGTTTTCCACCCTGCATATTTGATTGTGTAGATTTCATCCGACTTTCTGGGCTGATGCCCTTGACTAGCCCACGGCAGGCGTCTGCAAGCCAAGGTCAAGTGTGCCTTCTGCGTTCCCGAGACGCAGGAGTGAGAATCGGGACCTTTGCCTCGTTGGCCCTTTACGTTACCAACAGCGCTAACCAAACACAGACCGTTTCAGAAGGAGAAAAATTAAACTAAAAGGTACCTTTGACAGCAATTACATAGCAGCTTTCAAAAGAATTCCGTGTGATTTACAAACTTCAAAGGTGACTTAAAAATTCTCAGAACATTCTGTTACAGCTGGCAAAGGTGAGAGGGGAAATAAGAAGACAGAAACAAGACAGGCACCCTCTGTGTATTCTTTCTCCTCTAAAAAACCTTTCCCTACCCAAAAAAAAAAAAACCACATGAGCAGCAACTCACCATTTTTCCAGGGTCAGTTCACTTTTCGTGCTGCTCTAAACCCTGCCGAAAGCCGGCTCCCGGGGAGCCCCAGGAACTGGGGTTGGCCTCTCTTCGGTCTGCAAGCAGGAAACGCCCCGTGCTGAGAAGGGGGTGGCGCTGGGGGAGAATCCATCTACTGTCAAGGAAGTTTCAATTAAATGTGGGTGCCAATTAATTTAATTTATATTTCTGCATGAAAAATGTCATTCCACTATACATGCGCTGGAAGGATGCCAGGAGCCCACATTAATAAATTCCGTCTTTACCGACATACTATGGACTCACAGGCTAATCGGGTATTTATTAAATGCCCACCTGTGCTTGGGGCTACGCCTTGGAGAAATGCAGCCGAAATAAGGTCTGTCCAGCAGAGCCTGTGCCTCCACTGTGGCCATCTGACACCCACCCTCGTCCTCCTCTTCTCCTGGCTTTGGGCACGTCTCAGGAGGACAACTGGAAAAATGAATAATAGACATTCAGGTGCCAGTGGTTATAAATGGGCACATTTAATGAATGATGGGGAATTGTAAACAATCTACTCGAATTAATCAGGGAATAGGCTTATTCTGGTTAGCAGGAAACTTGCAATGATTATTGAACTGTAGGGTCCCATCAGCTGGTGGTGAGTGATACTAACACCTACTGGTCCCGAAGCGCTAACTTCGTGCTTTACTCGGAATCCTCGCCGTGTGTTTTATTTTCAATCCTTACAGCAATCCTTGGAGGTAAGGATTATTCCCGCCCACCCCTGTCATTTCCGAGACACAAAAGCTGAGGTTCAGGAAGCCGAAATGACCTTACTCAAGGTCACGTGACCAGTAAGAGGCGTACTCCAGCCCAGCCTCGTCTGACTGGAACGCAGAGGGCTCTTTCTCCTGCGCCGGCCGAGTCCTCTGCATCGGAGCCCTGTTCTCTCGGACAAGAGTTGCCACGGTTTCCGTGGGGGACGGGGTGGTGCCTGCCCGGCTCTGGCAGGGTTGACATACGGTGCTGACAGTTCTCGGTGAGCTGTTACAGTTAAACCTTCAGCAGTTGACTCTTGCACACCCCTTGCCCTGGAAATTCGCCCTGCTCTCCTCTGCGGCAGGTCTGTGTGGCTGTGAAACAGACTCACTCAGTCACAAGGAGTGCTCAGCTAGTCATGCATTGTTTGCAGTCACTAATTTATTTCACATTTACTGAGCACCTATTATGTGCCAGCCACTCCGCCAGGTCCCAGGATGCAATGACGAAAAAGGAGTTCAGACCCACTGGAAGACAGACACCCGGACACAAAACTACAATGTGTGGTTAGATGCTACGGAATTACCAAGGAAATACATCCATTTTTGTCATTTATTCAATTGCTCATTTATTCGCTCTTTGATTGCTTACAGAGTCTCTAGGACGTGCTAGGACACAGGCCCCTTCTAGCGTTTCCAGGCCGGGGCAGGAAAAGGCAAAGCTCCCAGCCCGAGTCTGATCCCCCCGCCCCACCCCGCCTTGCCATCCCTGCGTCCACCTTGTGCTGCACAGGCCTCCCAGCCGGCGTGTGCAAATCTGTAAACACCTCCCCGCAGAACCTCTTACAACCAGGAAGAGGCGTCCGTAGAGTAACTTCTGGGCTGTTCAGGTGGGAGTTCTGCGACCCAGGCCCAGAGCGCGGTACGGAAAGGGAGGACATGGGCCTTGGGGGGGCACGGCCCTTTGGCTCTACTCCCCTCTCCTCTGATGCTGGGGACAGGGCAGAGGAAGGCCAGAGGGGCTCAGAGTATGGTCCCCAAACTGACAGCCTCAGCATCACCCGGGAGCTCATCAGAAACGCAGAATCTCAGGCCCCTGCAGACCCTGTGGATCGAAGCTGCATTTCGACAAGGCGCCCACGTATTTCATCACCTTTTGAGCAGCCTGCTCTGGGGGCCCTAGTCTAGCCCCGTCTTTTGGTAAATGAAGGGACCGAGGTCACCCAGAGCAGCGGGCAGGAGCAGGGCCTGGCCTGAGAGCGCCCTTCTGGGCCCCTTACTGCTCTCTAGGGGTGGATATAAGCCACGGCAAATTTGAGAAAAAGCCCCTTGGAATCACTCAGATTGACAGGGGCCTGGAATAAGATTCACAGAGAGAGATCCGGAGGAGCAGTCCATTAAGTCACGGGCAAAGTAGTTAAAGGAACGTTAAAGGAACGTTCGTGATAACAGATCACTCCAGGAAGGAACGGGAGGAAGGGCCGAGAAACCTTTTTGTTTTCTGTTTTGTTTCTGGTCCAATGCAAGTGAGCCGGAGTGGACTTCCATAGTCAAAGGGCATTGTCCTTTTCTGTTCTTGTTTTTTCTGCATTCCGTTGCTCCACCCCCACCCGCCTTTCCTTAGCACCTTTCAGTTTCCAACCCTTTCTGCTGCATCCCTGTGGTTCTGTTTACCTTCTCTTCTCAGCTTATGTTTTTCTCAAATCATTCACTCTGCTCCAAAGAATACAGAAGAGAGAAGTGAGCAGGATAAAGTTTAAAAATATGGTCCAGGGCTGGGCACGGTGGCTCACGCCTGCAGTCCCAGCGCTTTGAGAGGCTGGGGTGGGAGGATCACACGAGCCCAGGAGTCTGAGGCTGCTGTGAGCTCCGATTTCACACCACTGCACTCCAGCTTGGGTGACAGAGTGAGATCCTGTATCTAAACACGAAAAATTAAAAAATATATATATACAAGCGTATATATGGTCCAGTGCTTATCTCCTGCTGCTACCAATTCCTATCAATTTTTAAAAAATATTTTACTGTATAATTTTTATTCGTGCATAAAAATGGAGGAAATTGCATTTCGATTTTACAAGTTCTATTCAGCCAGCGACATTTACCAAGGTGCTGCTGGTTTCGGGTCCATCAATCCCATCTTCTCATCTCCACTGCGCCCCGTCTTGTCTTTTCCCTCCCTTCCTCCCTCCCTCTTTTCTTTCTTCCTCTCTTTCTTCCGTCTGTCTCTCTTTGTCTCTGTTTTTCTTTCTCTCTCTTTCCTTCTTGCTGGTGTTTATTAAAGCAAATCCCAGACATCATATCATTTAACTCATTTCCTACAGAATTTCCCGGAGGCAGGGCCACAAGAGAGGGTAGGCTGGGGAAATGATCTCTTATGATTGCGTTCTTCACCAAAATATGAAATTTGTGTTACTAAGAAAAAATATAGAATTTCTAAAGCCTCTTCATAATACCCCAGTTACCGTAGACTTTATTTTCTATCTCACGTCCTCCCCCCTAGAGTCTTTGAGGGGAGGGTCTATGAGAACTTTTAAATCTTCCTTCACTATTAAAATAGTACCAGAATAACAGAAAGTTTGGATGTTTATAAACCTAAAAAGAGGTGAATATTCTTTTACTGCCGTCAAAGAGCATTCATTCTCAGAGTATCACTTTTAAAGTTGAAAATTTGTCAATGTAAAGTTTGACGAGATCTTCTGTGACAAGAAACCAAACACTTTTGTTCCCCCCCGTGCAAACTCCCGGAGCTGCCTGTTGCAGGGGTTTTAAAGGCACTTAGAACGGGGACCTGGGTACGACAGCGTGAAATCATGGTGCACGGTGGTCTATAGAGGATCGAGAAAATCCGAGGTTTTGTTATTTTCCATTAGTAAGTGCCATCCAGTGAAATTTGGGTGAAATACCCTCTAAATAAGTCAAGTAGACAGGGGCTTTGAATGAGGGAATTAATTATTGCTGGAGTCCCACGGAAAAGAATTCCTCTGTGGCAGGGACAATGTAATTAATGGGAGGTAAGTGCCAACAAATCACTCCTTAAAATATTAATGCTATCAAAGAACAGCTGGATAATGAGAGAAATCTGACCCTTGGGGGACCAGCAAAGGTCGCTGTTGCTGCCGCTGAACTTCATGCAGTTATGATGTAATGAAATTCCTCTACATTTTAAGAAAAATAATACTAAGAGGTGTGGTTCTGGGAAAGTTATTAGCAGTAAACATGTCATTGTAGTTTTTATCATCTTACTAGAATCATTATATCTCATTTTTGCTGTGGCTCTAAATGACTTTTCCCCTTAATTGACCAGGATATTTTTACAATCCAAACAACACTCCTAAAAAACAACTAAGTTTAAAAACAAAAAAGTTTAAACCTGGAAAGAACTTTTTTTTTTCTTTTTTAGTAAATAAAAACCCAGTACCTAAGACATTTCTACAAAACAATTTCCCAGATGCTTAAATTAAGTTCTTAAGTCAAGAAAAAACTGTCCCATTGTTTGTTTGTTGGTAAAAGCTCCAACTTAATTTGGTTTTACTTAATACCTTATTATTGTCCCAAGAAATACCTCTTTCTCAGAGAGCAGTGAAGTTAAATATTTACACAGTCCCACTTCACATGTGAAACACTGGACGTTCATTTTTAAAGTCTCATAACTAAATGATCATCCCAATAATTAAAATTACAAGTCGGAAGTCATTCTTGACTTGGGAGGTACTTCAACTTAGATTTTGAAAAGGAAACTGTTTCATGCAGAGCTGAAATAAAAGTTTCTCTAGAGCCGACTCCGACCATCAGGCAGCTGCAGGTGTGATAAATAAGCGCTTCTGCCCAAGCACCGGTGCTCCTGGTGCTCAGAGCGCTTTGCTCCTTCTGCTTCACTCGACTTGCCAGCGTCTGAAGCAGCGTGTTTGACAAATGGGCCGAGATGCGCCGAGCCAGGCCGCGAGGAGAGGAGTCCAGGATGCAGTAAAGGCAGATGCTCCGGGCTGGCCGGGCTCGCGTAACGCCGGTTCCATGAGGCGCTCAGGCCGCTGCAGGAGCAGTGTCCCCGAAAATAGCCCGCGGGGGACCCATCACTTCAATCAATGTGTTTCTTTGCCCGAACAGAAGTTCAGATCTGCTCCATCATCATTAATTTTGTTCTTTTACTCCCTCTGCAGAAGCCGTGCTCTTTGAGGTTTTGCAAGCCGGCGGGGGTGGCCGGCGGGGGTGGCCGGCGACTCTTCCCCGGCGCGGGCAGGTGGGCGCGGTGGGGAGGCTGTACTTGGGGAAGTGCGCGGTTCCCCCCAGAAAAGGTGGAAACGCACGTGCAAAGCGCCGTGCTCAGTGCGCGCCCTAAACACCGTGCAACTGGTCCCGAGCCTTCAGCCCCGGCGTCGCCGGAGCGAGCCCCGGTCTGATTACTCGCAAGCTGCGGTCACCGCGCTCGTGTTTATCAAATGCATAAATGTGGAACCGCGTCTCCACCCGCGCGCCGAC